TTATTAACTGCAAAGTCTCTTCTTTTTTTCAATAATAATAATTGTCATCATTTTATACAGTAGCGTGGCTAAGGGCGCGGTGGGTGCGGACTGCACCCGGTGACACCATCTCAGGGGTGTTAAACCCAATTGAAAAATTGCATATTTACAGAGCACACACTGCTCGGTCCAACCGATTTTCATAAAAGGATAACCAATCACACAGAAATTGTCCACACGTGTAACCAACTTCAATGCGTGCTTTATTAAAAGTTATATGTTGATGCGTCAGAAATGAGGTGACCCTATAATAAGGTCAGAAAAACATCGATTAAAAATGGCCTTTTCCCCTTATTTATAGGGTTAATCAGTGACGTGTGTGGGGGGTGTGTGGGTGCGGACCACAATGGGTGATACCATCCTAGGGAGTGACACCAAATTGACAAATTGTACACTTACAGAGCAGGCACCGCTCGGTCTAACAACATTTCATAAAAGGATAACCGATCGCACGTAAATTTGTCCCGTCGCATTCTATTCCCTCCATACACGGCACCAGTCATGATCAAAGTCATTCTCAACTAAATCCCGTGCTTTACCAAAGGTGGCGGTTGCAAAGAATCAGCTCAGTGTGTCCAAGAAAATATGCGTAGTCAGCTGTTCACCACAACATCACTTACTTGGACGAGATGACGTGATCCGTGGCGGACTTGGAGACGAGGAGTTCAGTCCTGGACGTCATGTTGACTCAAGGGGGAATCTGCCACGGGAACTGTAAGGGGATCCTTAACGGGATCTGTCAGTCTACTTAAATATATTATATATTAAAGATTTATCTTCTTCACGTGTTATTTATTTTGCTTAGATGTGAACATGAGACAATTGAGTACTTAACTATGTGGTAAACAGAACAAGGGCAGGAAACAGTAAGACACGTGAGTGAAAGGTTGATCGGGTGGTCGGTTTTGTAACAATGACCTGTCAATACATTTTAGAGAATTTAGCTTCACCCCATAGCACGGGGACTTAAAGTACACCAGTAATTCTCGTTTTCTTCAGTATCCCAGACCTTCTGGACTCTGTCCACTCTAGGGCAAGAAGCCCTAAAGCAGTCATTCCATTTATTGACTTTTCTTTATATTTATCAATCTTTTGCAGACTGAATGCGCACACGAATGCAAACGTAAATTATGATAATGCCGCTTTACGCAATATTACCACTACATACCTGTTGTTGACACAGACACAATCCTACCACTACATACCTGTTGTTGAACCAGACACAATCCTACCACTACATACTTGTTGATGAACCAGACACAATCCTACCACTACATACCTGTTGTTGAACCAGACACAATCCTAACTCTACATACCTGTTGTTGAACCAGACACAATCCTTCCAATACATACCTGTTATTGAACCAGACACAATCCTACCACTACATACCTGTTGTTAAACCAGACACAATCCTACCACTACATACCTGTTGTTGAACCAGACACAATCCTACCACTACATACCTGTTGTTGAACCAGACACAATCCTACCACTACATACCTGTTGTTGAACCAGACACAATCCTACCACTACATACCTGTTGTTGAACCAGACACAATCCTACCACTACATACCTGTTGTTGAACCAGACACAATCCTACCACTACATACCTGTTGTTGAACCAGACACAATCCTACCACTACATACCTGTTGTTGAACCAGACACAATCCTACCACTACATACCTGTTGTTGAACCAGACACAATCCTACCACTACATACCTGTTGTTGAACCAGACACAATCCTACCACTACATACCTGTTGTTGAACCAGACACAATCCTACCACTACATACCTGTTGTTGAACCAGACACAATCCTACCACTACATACCTGTTGTTGAACCAGACACAATCCTACCACTACATACCTGTTGTTGAACCAGACACAATCCTACCACTACATACCTGTTGTTGAACCAGACACAATCCTACCACTACATACCTGTTGTTGAACCAGACACAATCCTACCACTACATACCTGTTGTTGAACCAGACACAATCCTACCACTACATACCTGTTGTTGAACCAGACACAATCCTACCACTACATACCTGTTGTTGAAACAGACACAATCCTACCACTATATACCTGTTGTTGAAACAGACACAATCCTACCACTATATACCTGCTGGTGAAACAGACACAATCCTACCACTATATACCTGTTGTTGAAACAGACACAATCCTACCACTATATACCTGTTGTTGAACCAGACACAATCCTACCACTACATACCTGTTGTTAAACCAGACACAATCCTACCACTACATACCTGTTGTTGAACCAGACACAATCCTACCACTACATACCTGTTGTTGAACCAGACACAATCCTACCACTACATACCTATTCTTGAACCAGACACAATCCTACAACTACATACCTCTTGTTGAAACAGACACAATCCTACCACTACATACCTGTTGTTGAACCAGACACAATCCTAACTCTACATACCTGTTGTTGAACCAGACACAATCCTACCACTACATACCTGTTATTGAACCAGACACAATCCTACCACTACATACCTGTTGTTAAACCAGACACAATCCTACCACTACATACCTGTTGTTGAACCAGACACAATCCTACCACTACATACCTGTTGTTGAAACAGACACAATCCTACCACTATATACCTGTTGTTGAAACAGACACAATCCTACCACTATATACCTG